AAGAGATATTCATAAAAATATGATTTATTTTTATTCGGTTTGTTAACCAGTTGATAGTTATTTAGAAATGAAGAATAAATGAGTTTTGAGAATAATTCTCTAATTGTATTTAGGCGATCCGAAAGGAAGAAAAAGAAGGAAAAAGAAAGAGAAAGAGAAATAGATAGTACAAAACCCGGTCATAACCAAAACACGCTTAAACTGACACAAAACAAGATATCTAGGTCAAGGTACCTGACCGAAATCCAGGGAAAATAGAAATTGTTATAATTGGTTGAAGGAATAGAGTTTAGAAATAATGATACGAGACGGGGTAGTGAGCGAATAGGCACACGCGCGATTGATGCATAACAGATGTCGGTCAAGCACCTGACCTACTTTCGTGTCCGCGAAGTATGGGAGTTTGTTATCAATTTGGTTGAGGAAATAAGATTTTAAGGACAATGGAAAAAATATTAATAGGTAACGAACGAAAAGGGGTGTCATTGAGATGATAAGTAACCGCTGAGAAATGTATACGAAAACAAAACATTGGTACACGACCCCTGACCAGTTCTGGGGTTGAAGATAAGAACCTCCCAAGATGATGAGTGGAAAATATTTTCAATTTAGATAATTAAGATTTTGTTAACAGGTCCGAGCGAAAGAAAGAGGTGAAATATTTGTTTTAGCTCGCGGAAGACGCCGACAGGTCGGAAAAAGTCTTTCCTGGAAGTCACAGCTAATTAGCGGCGGGCTGTTTTGACAAATACCACGTATACGAAAAAGACAATTTAAATTTTGTTTTTTTGGCAGGGTGTTTCTTCCCCAGAACAAAGCCCCGGATTGTACACGCCCGATTGGAGACGTCACGAAGGAAGGAGGGAAGATACCGACCAGAGTCTCATTAGCCGAGGGCAGTCACATGATACATGAGGGAGGAGGAGAGACACCCGACCAGTGTCTCATTGGCCGAGAGCGGTCACGTGATGTGCGAGGGAGGAGGAAAGATGCCCGACCAGGACCCCATTGGTCGAGAGCGGTCACCTGACATACGAGAGACCAGAGGAAGCGGGTATGCGCCTCATCCCCAGAGGCACTGTAAGGAAGTAGGAGTGAAAGTAAGAGCGATAATGGGAAAGCAGAAATAATGCGACTTTTGGAATTATCAAGAAAACCCTGGCGCCGACAGACCCACCCCAGTTTGTTACGGCGTCAATAAAAGCAGGACCCCAGTCGACAGAAATCAGTTGCAGGGCGGACGGCGAGAGAGAGCTGCAGAGCGGACGGCGAGAGAGAGCTGCAGAGCGGACGGCGGGCCCTGTTCATTCGACCCTTGCGGGCAAGGAAGGCCGGTCCGTTTGGCCCGGACAGGCAGAGAAGTTGGAGTTGCAGCCCGAAAGCCGCAGAGAAGTTAGAGTTGCAGGCCGGACAGGCAGAAGAGTTGCAGGCCGGACAGGCAGAAGAGTTGCAGGGCGGACAGCGAGGGAGCTTGAACGCGGGCGGCGGGCCCGGTTCATTCGCCCCTTTGCCGGCAAGAGAATCCGGAGTGAAGAAATTCGTCCAGCCCAAGTCGAAGTGAAGAAGATTGCCCGAAAGCCTAAAAAGAGTTGGAGCTGCAGCCCGAAAGTCGAAGAGAAGTTAAAGTTGCAGACCGGACAGGCAGAAGAGTTGCAGACCGGACAGGTAGAAGAGTTGCAGGCCGGACAGACAGAAGAGTTGCAGGCCGGACAGGCAGAAGAGTTGCAGGGCGGACGGCGAGACAGTTACAGGCCGGACAGGCAGAGAAGTTGCAGTTGGAGTTGGGTTTGCGCCTCGGACGAAGAAGAATTAACTTGCAGTTACGCCTAGGAGAAGTTGGAACCAAACCAAGCCTAAGAATAGAAATTCGTCCAACCCAAGTCGAAGTAAAGAAATTCGCCTAACTCAAGTCGAAGTGAATAAATTCGTCCACCCGAAGCAGAAGAGAAGTTAATTCGCGCACTGACGGCGAGGGAAATCAGCCGTGAACGACTGGTAGAGATCAGCGCCCAGTGTCGAAACCAAACCACACCCCGAAATGCAAATTTCTAGAGAACAAGCAACTCGAAGTCTTAAAGTTGTATGATAGAAGCTTGGTGCCACAGTCCACAAAACGGGTCGGGAGGTAGGAACAATTTTGTGTAACGAACATTTATATATAAAAGGTTGTTATCCTTTTTTTTCAATAATTTTTGGCCTCGTGAGTTTTTCTTTTTCTTGTGTGTTATCACCCCGTTGAACCCAGCTGGCACGGCCCCAATCCCTGTTTGATCCCGTCTGTCTAAGATCTAATCACAGCGTGGGTAGGCAGACCGGAGATCAGTACAGTTACCCTAGTAACCAGGCGTTGGAAGCGAGTTGGGAACGACGAGGCTGGTATTCATCTAACCAAAGGGTTAGAACGTCACACTTGGAGCAGCGAGGAGCGAACAGCTGACGCCGCGGCAAAGACATCACAACTGGTGCTGTCCGTGACCAGGATATCAGAGCCTGGAGAGCACGTGACGTCACAACTAGTGCCGCGACCAGGG